AGAAGCGCAGACTGCGAGCTGCCGCAGCCGCCGCTGCCGCGGCCGCCAAGAAGGACGAGGATGCACCCGATTTTTTCTCCCAGCTAAAGGAATTTATTGGGTTTAATCTCTCCGGTCAACGGCGCAGCGGTCGAATCATCCTGATTTTTCTCTTCGCTCTAAATATCGGATCCTTTATTCTCTACCTCCTAGACGCCAACAAGGTGCGTTATGAAAAGGGTCGGAGGAGTTTGGAGATCTGTCTTCCCTTCATGGAGAATACCGTGCAGAAAATTGATTTAACCCTGAACATCTGCTTTTTTATGCATTTCATAGCACGATTAATTATTACTGACAATTACCTCCTCTTCTGGTTTGAATTGTTCTCCATAGTGGACATTCTCACCATCCCGCCGGCCTTTCTCGCCCTCTTTCTCGGGCGCAGTTGGTTGGGTTTACGATTTTCACGTTGCCTGACTGTGCTCGCCCTCAAAGACGTCCTGCAGTATGTCAACATTCTGAGATCCAGTACCGCGATACGCCTATGCCAGTTGGTCACCTTCTTTGCCGGTCTTGTCCTCTCGGCATCAGGATTTGTTCACCTGCTGGAGAATTCCGGAGATCCACCGCATTTTGACAATCCCCAGGACCTGTCCTATTTTGACTGCCTGTACCTCTGCATCGTCACAGTGGCGACAGTTGGTTATGGCGACTTCACCTGCAGGACTATTATGGGCAGGGCCTTTATGATTGCCTTCATACTGGTGGCGTTGGCAGTGTTTGCAAACGCCATCCCCGAGATTGCGGATATAGTGAACTCGCGAACCAAGTATGGCGGCACCTACGTCAGACGGCTGGGAAAGCCACACCTAGTCCTGTGTGGACACATCACTTTCAACACAGTTAAAAATTTTCTCAGTGACTTTCTGCACAAAGATAGGGAGGACGTAGTGACGCAGATCGTCATTCTTGATCAACAGGAGCCTAACCTGGAACTGCAAGGATTGCTCAAAAGATATGAAAATCAGGTTCACTTCTTTCAAGTAAGCTGTCCTTTTTCAACCATGCATATTCATACTTTGCGCCCCAACTGCAACACATACAGTTAGCCTAGCATGTAGTACGTAGAATGTTTCTTATGGTCGACCACCCGGAAACAGGGTATTCCTTAAGGCGGATACCGTCGTTCGACAAGTGGGGTTGAAACGAAAATTTTCAAGACTGACATCCAGCTCCTAAATAAATTGATCTTAGTTGATAGATCTGTCGACTGTTCAAATAATCTCCTCCCCGTTGAAATCGAAGAAGATTTCAGTAAATAGAGAAGCAGAAGGCGTTTCGATCACCGGAAGCATAATTTTACTCGTCTGAGCTTTCATGCTCTTTCTAGAGTCAATCGTCAGAGATAAAAGGCGCCAACGAAAGACAAGCAACAGTTATAGGAGGCAGGAGCCAATCAACTGCGACAGGGGGAGGAGGTGAGCAATCAACCACCAATGCCATCACTCCGCAGATGCCTGCGCAGGGCAATGCATGCCGGCGCCAAATCTATAAATCGATTGACTGAGTTCTCATCCTGCAATTGACTCCAGAAAGAGCACGAAAGCTCAAACGAGTAAAA